GCTACAGAGACATCATTCGTGAAAGGAAGAGTCGATCGATGCAGCAGATTTCACTGTTGTCTTACTTTAAGAAATTGCCAGTCACCCCAGCCTTCAGCAGCCATCACCCTGAGCATCTGGTAGCCATCAACACTGAGGCAAGACCCTCCATCAGCAAAAACGTGAGGACTCCCTGAAAGCTCAGATGATGGCTAATGGTTTTTTTAAAGCTATAAAGCATTTTTAAATTAAGTGTGTACAGTTTTTTAGACATAACGTTATTGCACACTTAATAGAGTGTAGCTTAAACATAACTTTTATGTGCACTGAGAAATCAAAACATTCATTTGACTCTCCTTATTATGATGTTCGCTTTATTGTGGTGGTCTGGAACCCAACCTGCAATGTCTCTGAGGTGTGCTTGTATTTAAAAAGGCCTCCTGTAATAAAGTAATTTATATCTGAATAATGGGGGCACCTGTCCCAAAGTCTTTGGATCATAAGACTCTACCCTTTACCTTCATTGCTTTGCACTTAGAACGAACATCCTGCCAAATTGGTGTCGTGTGTCGCATGCCCGGGGAAACTCTGCATTCTGCCGTGTTGAATATGTGAATGGTGGGGGGAGGGTTCAGGAACAAGGCCTTGTTGGGGCTCCCGGGTTTCTTCAGTTTGAGGAAAGAAATTACATGTTTATTCCAGAAAGAAGGGAGATTGGGCCAGACCTAAAAGGGGGCTGTCTCCAGGGCTGATTTTCTTGTTTGACAGAGTAAGTCTACCCTTGGGGGTCCTTTAGGGAACAGAAACGTGGACAGTGGGGCATGGAGGTTGGAGCTTTCTGTGTTGGGGGCCTGGAGCTAGAGGGGAGTGTGAATTCTGGGCAGCAGATGTTGCTGGCTCTTCTCTGTTGCTTGGCCTCTCTCGACAATTCCTGCTACGCTCCATTTCTGTTTTTATTCACATCCTCTCCCTCTGCCCCCTGAAGACCTCCTTTCCCTTTCTACCCAAATACCTGTCCCCTCCTCTCATGACTCATCTCTCAAGCCCTCCCTCTGTTTAACTGCCCACAAAGAGGAATGAAATGTGTGCGTGTGTGTTTATATTTGTGTTTGAAATTATGAAAGTTACTACATAAGAGCTTTCTGTTCCTTTTTCTTATTTTAAAAACAGCTGAATTTGGCATTTTACTTTTTTTTTTTAATATCTCCAGACTGAATTATGTTCCTTATGGTTATGAACAGTCCTTGACCAGTTTTATTTTAATCCCACTCCCACCCCCTGGAGGCTGGAGGCTTCAAAAGCACCCACTTCTGGCCTTACTTGTTTTGCATCTAACCCCTGGTAAGCCGAGAGGACTGGAAATAATCAGGGACGCTTGTGGGTGAGCCATAACTTTTCAGATCTCCACCGATCGCTTTTCTGAGTGTGCCTGGGACTGGTAGAATGAAACACAGCAAGACCAGGCAGGGGAGAGCTGCTGGGTGGGGAGAAATGGTTGGATGGGAAATTATTTTTTCTTTCCCAGTAATTGTTTTGACATGGAAAGTAATTAGCCAGCAGCTGACAGCTCAGAACTGAAGTGAGAACAAGAGAATGGATTAGGGGCAGAATGCCCCTGCATTTGCCAGTTCCTGGCCGCTGTTCATGTGGCGGGCGGGGCGCCTGGGGGATGCTGGAAGCAAAGACAGCGGTGTACTGAGGGTGCACTTTTAGGTGCCATGAGGGGAGGAGGTGGGGGTCAGAAGGGGCTGGGGACAACCCTGGTGTACAGGGACCCAATATCATCAAAGGTAGTGACTCCTTCCTAGCTAAGACCTGCTTGGGTAAGAATTGACATATTTCGTGTTTGTAGTCACACGGAACTGTGGTTCGGTTCTTCTGTGGTCTTTGGTAGATTTTTGGGATCGGGGTAATGCTGATTTTTATATAATCAACTGGGAAATTTACCACGTTTCCAAACTCTTGGTATAGTTTGTGTCTAGGTATTTCTTCGTTGAGCTTTTAAGCGAAGTTGCCCATAAAACCGTCTGGGTCCAGTGCCTTTTGGAGGGAGGTCATTTTTCAAAGGTTTTACTCATTTTGGTGTTTCTAGTGTCTTTTGAAACTGTTTTTGATCATTTGATTCTTATGGAAGGTTATGTATTTATTAGCATGTAGTTATAAATCCTATGTGCTTGCATTTAAAAAAAATCTCTTACGAGATCTGCTTATGTTTTCTTTCTAACTCTACATTCTGAGCATTCATGCACTCTCTCAGTCTCAGATTAGATGGGCTGACCTGCTTTTTTATTGTTGTGATCCCCCCGCCGAAAGCCACCCCCACACAAAGAGAACGCGCCTGAGTTGCGAATGTCATCCCATTTCCTAACCAGTTCATTTCTAGTGCCATATTTATATCCTCTTCTCATGTTTTCCTTTGGTTTACTTTACTGGCTTGTAAAGGTTTTTGTGAATTCTTAATTTGAATGTTTAGTCCATTTATTTGTATTTCCTTGGTTTTGGTAATGGAATAATGGAGGCTATGGGTTTTCCTCCAAATATAATTCAAGCCTTATCCCATCTGTTTTGATATGTTCTTCCTGATTATTTTCTAAATATTGTGTAATTCCCGTTTTTAAATTCTTTGACCTGACATTAGGAGGGCATTTTCTGAAATTTCCAAGTGTTTGGTTGTTGGAGGGATGGTGATCTTGTGTATTTGTTCTTTCATTACTAATATCTGCTTTTATTGCGTTCTGGTCAAAGAATGTGGCCTGTGTTCTTTATGCCTTTTGCGATTTAGCAACACCTTATTTGTGACTTCAGTATGCCCAGGCCTTTTAAAATGTTCCGTGGCTTGTTGGCAAAAGATGTTATCTTGGGTATCTGGGTGGCTCAGTCGGTTAAGCGTCTGCCTTCAGCTCGGGTCATGATCTCGGGGTCCTGGGATCGAGCCCCGCATTGGGCTCCCTGCTCAGCGGGGAGTCTGCTTCTCCCTCTGCCGCTCCCCCCACTCATCTTTTTCTCTCTCTCAAATAAATAAATAAAATCTTTAAAAAAAAGATGTTATCTTTGTTTGTAACCCATGATGTTTAGTATCTAGTTCATTCAGCCTTCTAAATGAAATTACTGAGATATTCTACGTCCTCACTTTTCTCTACTACTCAGTCATCGACTGAAAGCAGTGTAACTAAGGTTTTCTCCTGTCGTCTTTAGATTCTCCGGCATATGTGTTTTTTCGATTTCAGTGCTATGCTGTTTGATAAATGACGGTTCTCGAATGGTACGCCTTCATCGTGGGTTGTATTTATCATCAGCCTAGTGCCCTTCCTGGCATAGCTTATGCTGACCTGAGGAACTTCTCCTCGATCCCCTCAACATTCCGTGATGCTCTTCGAATCGCACCCCCGGCTCCTCTTACACCAGCATGCTCATGGATATAGTATTAGCATGCAACCGGCTGCCGAGGGGCCCGGGTGCAGACCAGGGCTGTGACTGGTCATGCGGGTTAATTTCTTGGTGGTTGTTGCTTCCCCAGCCAGCTGCACTGGGGGCCAGCCACGTGCCCAGTTTTCCTGTCGCCTTCCTGTGTCTGTGCCCACCCACTTCCAGGGTATCAGGCCAGCCCCGCAGATCAGGGAGAAGCCCAGCTGCCCAGAGGGGTCTGCTAAGGGGGGTCTGTGTTTCTGCTCGCAGGGGGCGCTGCATTTTTCACTGCAAATGGCAGAGAATGGGGGACATCCCCCAGCATGAAAACGGTTCCTGCGTGGGATGGCCTTCATCACCCCCATTGCTTCATCACCCCATTGCCTGCCTCCAGCAGATCAGTAGATGTTAGTGACTTTCAGCCAACCTCTCCCCTTGCTTCCTGCCACACTGCAGGGTGCTCCCAACAAGAACCAAGCATTGGACCTCAGTTTGTATATCTTCTCTCGTTTGACCTGTGCAGTCTATATGTTGCAGCAATTCCTCCAAGCCTGGGGCATGCGGAAAGCATGCTTCCCTGGTGTCTACTAGAGATCACGCAGGCTTGGGGCTCAAGGAGCAGAAGCAGTGGTCTTCCCTCCCTCCATCTATCCCTCTCCCCTTTTCATGAATTACTTCATGACTCAAGGCTCCCTTTCGCAAGTACTGCCCCCACTGGATTTTCATGCCAACCGAGTAGGTTTGGAGACTGGGGAGGATTATCCCCATTTCACAGATCTGGAAGCTGAGGCTCACAGAGGAGGAACTGCTCCCTAAGCTCACGTAACCGTGTCTGCAAGGGAGCAGACCCGAGATCGCACGGGTCCCAGTGGGTACTTGTGGCATCAGGAGCCTGTGGGGGTGTTGGGAGCTTTGAATTGGCAGTTTCCCAGTGGAAACTGGGAAATGCTACAAGCCTGCCCTGCTCCCCACTGCCCCCATAAGAGAGCAGGTTGATCAGCACACCTTGGGAGCACAGTGAGTGTCATAGGGGTAGAATTTTGCAGCCTTGAATTTTTTTCCTTTTTTTTTTTTTTTTTTACTTTAGGAAAACTGAGACTCAAAAGGGATGGCCTGTGATACCCCCGGCTATTAATCGGCAAAGCCAAATTTCATAGAAACCAGTAAACCCCGTGCTCTTTCCATTCTATACTGGTATTACAGTGCTGTGAGGGCGAGGGTGGGGGCGTTCCTCTGGGGAGATGCCAGCAGGTGGCGGAGGGGCCGCCTGACTCCGTGGAGTCGGCACCAGTGGCCACAACTGATTTGGCATTTTCAAGTGACAGCTGTGGATTGCAGTGACCCCACCTCCTATCACGGAGGCACGTCCGTCTCTGGTTCAGAAAGAAACGCGGTCCCCCAAGAGTCGCACAGTTGGGAGCTGGGGATTAGAGAGATGCTTGCGACCCATCTCTAGCTCCGCGAACCCTGGTCAGAGCCCAGGAGATGGTCCTGGCCGAGCGAGACATCTCAGAGGCTGGCGGACCGTGACGTGGGGGAAGGGACCACGGTTGCAGGCAGTCGGTGTCGCCCGTGTGTGGCTGGCGTGGCCTCTGAGCAGTGTTTCTTTCCCGCAGTGAATGGATACCACGTGGCAGGGACCCCAGCGCACCCTCCCGAGACTGCCCACATGAGTGTCCGAAAATCCACCGGTGATTCCCAGGTAAGGGGTCATGTTACGGGAGGTAGGGGTCACCAGGGAGGTGCCGGGAAAACAGCACCGCATGGGGGTCCAGGTGACCACAGCCCGGGTGTGCCCCAAGTAGAAAGTGGCTGGTATATCTGGGTCGTTCCTGTGTGCCGTGATTGGGAGAGAGTGGGCGATTGTGGTTTGTTGGTTTTCTCTAGAAGTTGAGGGTGGTTGGAGTGGGGCGATGGTGGTGGATTGTAACCATCGTTGGGGCAGAGGGGTCCATCCTGCCGTCTGGATTCCTGATAAATACCGTCTCGCTTTCTGTCACTTTAAGGATATGGATGGGGCCAGGCCACTTTCATTCTTCTACACACCCCCTTTCCCCACCCCAGACTTCACCCAGAACGGAATTCTGTAAAATGTTTTCTCACTTTTAATAATCTAGCAGCGAGACCTCAATGGGATGGGAAGAAACGGGAGAATGGTTTAAGATTCATTCCCATCCTGTTTTCTCATTCATCTTATCCGTTGACAACCTGTACAAACACCTGTCTACCTTTCCCGTCTTAAAGGCGAGACCACCGAGTCTCAGGCTGCTTAAGCAGGTGACACAAATACCGAGCGGTCAGTCTGGACCTCAGTGCCGAGCCCCTTGGTGTTTTGAGTTGCGTTAAACTGCGTCTAAGGAGGTGAGGATTGGCTTATTTATTCTTTCCATCAGTTATATCCAGGAGATGTTCTTAATGAGGGCTGCAGACTCTGTCAGCCCTTTCCAGGCCCCCAGGGATGATGGTGGTGATCGTGATAGTTGCCGGTGCTCAGGATGAGAGTAGCTGCTTGTTACCCCCAACAGTGGGTCCTGTGCACCAGAAAGAAGGGCCTCATGATCTGTTGCTGCAGTCGGCTAAAATGTGACACTTAGCTTTAATGCAGGCAAGAGCATTCCTTTTTGGAAACTTCATGAAGTTGTCTTAGGAGGCTGAGCATCGGACTCAGGTTCAGTTCAGCTAGTGCTCTGGAAAAGAATCCGGACGTCCGTGTGGGCCGAGACTTCTTACATTCTGATGGACTCACTCATCACCCAGGCCTTTGTTAAAATGTAGATTCTGATTCAGGAGGTCTAGGAAAGATCCTGAGGTTCTGTTTCCAAGCAGTCCCCGGATGATGCTTAATGATGCTGGGGATGCTGGGGATGCTGGTGAAGCTGGGGATGCTGGTGAAGCTGGGGATGCTGATGATGCTGGGGATGCTGGGGATCCTGGGGATGCTGGGGATCCTGGGGATGCTGGGGATGCTGGGGATGCTGGTGATGCTGATGATGCTGGAGATGCTGATGATGCTGGGGA